CTGAATTGAATGAGTGAATCTGAATGAGTTTCAAAATAGAAAAAAAACCATTCATTTCTGCTCATAGATTTAAAGTAAATGCAGATTTTAAATAATAGGATATAATTCTTACAGGTTTTTTATATTTGAATAAAACTGAATTAAGTTTATTCAAATTGAGAATTAGCACCTCTAATAATTTGTTTGATATACACTCTTTTGCCAAAAAAAAAAAAAAAAATCGAAGCACCATGAAGGAAGTGGTTGTTTTTGGTGAAATTGAGTATATGTGTAGCTCATACACAGAAAATAAAATGATTAGAAAATCAAGGTCATAGTACCTGTTCAAGGCTCACAATCACCCACTGAGTGTTCAAATTAGTAGTTGATTGTACCGTCCCTGGTGGCAGTGCATGCTTGAATTCGTTGGCAAGGAGTCGTAGAGGCTCTTAATGTCATCTTGCGACACATTCTGCTGGGCATTTATCAGTTGTCACTCCAGATCTGTGATATTTTGTGGTGCCCGAATCTGGCGGTCTACCAAGTCCCAGATGTGCACGATTGGTAAAAGGTCTGGTAACCTTGCTGGCCAAGGAAGAGTGTCAACCGCATGGAGACGGTCCAGAAATATGCGAGCGGTATGTGGCCTGTCATTATCTTCTTGGAAAATGGCCTCAGGATGACATGCCATGAAGGGTAATGCAACTGGCCACAGGATGGTATCAATATATTTGTTGAGTTGTTAAAGATGTACGGAGGATGTCTAAAAATGACCCGCTTTCAAAAGAAATAGTGCTGCACACCATCACACCAGGGGTTATGACTGTATGCCTTTGTAAAACAAAGGTTGTTTGGGACTGCTGGCACCGTCCTGTCCAGACACAAACACAGTGGTCATCTGCTTGAAGAGTGAAGCGAGATTCATCGCTGAACACTATACGATGCCAGTCTGAGGGCAGCCATGATGATCATGCTGTGACACCACTCCAGACGGCTCCGCTGATGCTGTGGGGTCAAAGGCAAACATCTTAAAGTCCTCTGTGAGCATAACCCCGCCAAGATAAGCCAGACAAGCGCCATGAGATGGTGGACAGTACCACGGGAGTTAACATGGCTGTAGTGCGTTGAATAGTCGACAATGATATCGCTGGGGCGGTTCGGGCCTGTTGAACAGTCATTCTATCTTGCCTTGCATTTGTGCTCTTTGGCCTTCATTTAGTTGGCAATTTCCTTGTAGCAACCATTGCTACCAACATCTTTGCACAGCAGAGTCTGTAGGCTGCAGGTAGCGGTCTCTTGCTCGGTATGACCACCCATCTTCATGCAACCCTACAATGCGATTACGTTTGAAGTTGTTTAGTTGTCTGTAAGGTCTTCAATATCGTCATAATATCATCTTTAGTTGCTTCTTTACAGAATAACAATGGCATCAACAAAAAAAAAGATAAATTTTCCGCCTCTGTTACTGGTTTTATACTTTGCGAATTGCGCTCTATGATCACAGTTCCTGTTCATTTGCCTTGAAGCTTTGATCATTTGCATGTTCAATCAAGATGTTTTTGCATACTTAATTTTGTCATGATCGCAAAAGTCCTTGGTGATTCAATTTTTTACAAAAGACTGTGTCGTATCCAGAAGTTCCAACCAGCCCTTCATTTTCATAACCATTAGTCAGCAACATATGCTTCATATTACAGTGTTTAAGTGACATAAATATTCACGTTTTGATTTTTTAAAATTTTTTCTGTGTTCCGCTAGTTTGTATGCTTACATTTATGAGAATGTTTATACTCTTTTTAAAAAATAAATACAATTGGTTAAAAAAAAAGAATTGTCTCGTAAAATTAAAAACTTCCAAAGTCAGAAATAATTTATCTTGAAAACTTAAAGGCCATAGGCAAATTGAAGAGAGCAATATTTAATTTGTGTGTAATTATCAGTAAAGAAATCCAGAACCAAATTCTTCAGAGATAAAAAATTGAAATTCATAAGTAATAAATCTTAAATAATCCTATAAATGCAATAAAGAATTTAAAAAGTGTTAAAACCAAAACTCTTCAAACAAGCAATACCTCATTTCAAAAGATCAATGAAATTTAAAGAAAAAACAAAACACACTAGAAGAGGAATTCAGTCAATCTCAATGTCACTTCGTCAGGAGGAGGAACATTGAAATCTCTTTTCCACAAAAATCCTTGTTCTTCTGTATTCAGAGTCGGCCAGTGAACCATTTCAATGTACTTTAATTATAATAGTTCACCCAAAAATTCTGACCCTCCTGGAAGCAAGGTAAAAACAGTACATTCAAATTAAAATCTTGAATAAAGAGAATTATGTTCAAAGAATTGAAAACACAAATACTTAAGTGAAAAATTCAAATCAAAATTTTACCTTTAAACTAAGAGTTCATATTCGATTTTGTTCTAAGTGCTCGAAATTGTTAATTACTTCTTGTGAGTTAAGTCTTTTCTGTAAAGTTTTATAATTTCACTTACGTTTTAAAATCTTTGGATTTTGTAATATTTATTTAAAATTAATTTTATTTAATTAAATTTTGGTTTGAATTTATCACTGAAATATTTTAGTATTTTATTATTTCACTTTTTTCACTTAAATTTTTTAAATAGAATTCTCTTTATGTACAAGATTCTAATTCAAACTTTTTGTTTTTTCCTTGCTTTGGGGAGGGGTCAGAATTTTCGGGAGAACTATTATAATTAAAATACATTAAAATGGTTCGCTGGCTAATTCTGAATACAGAAAAGCAAGGATTTTTGTGGAAGAGAGATTTCAATTGATTTTAGTGTTTCCCCTCCTGAAGAAGTAGCATTTAGGTTGATTGAATTCCTCTTCTATATTGTTCGTTTTTCTTTAAATTTCATTTTTTTTTTTTTTTTTTTTTTTTTTTTTTTTTTTTTTTTTTTTTTAATTGGGGTATTGCTTGTTTGAGAAGTTTTGGTTTTAACATTTTTTAAAAAATTGTTTTGTAATTATATATATATTAATTACTTTGGAAGTAAGAATCTTATTTCAGAATTATGTTAAAATTGGAAATTTTGAGGGGGAGAGAGCAATAATTGACTTTTTTTAATGGATTGCCATTTTTAATGTAATAACTTGTATATTTGTATTTGCCTAAAAGTTTATCTCATTTGATAGGGAGTAATATGACTTCCTGCATTTAGATTAAGCATTGTGCATAGGACGCATTATAAATCATTATTTTTTATACATGAAGTAATAAAAAATTTCTTATTATGTTAATTTGTGTAAATTTTATGTAAATATTACTTCTACTGTTAAGATTTTTCTTTGGTTAATAGTTTCAGATAGGGAGAATAGGTCAACTGTGCCAGATAGGAAAGGAAGGGGAATTAACAGGGTTTGTACGGTCCTTAAGAGTCCTTAAAAGTCCTTAATTTTGGCCCAAATCAGTAGAAGGTCCTTAATTTTAATAATCTGAAATTTCTCTCTGTTTTTACGACTGCCATTGTGTGTGAATTAGCATTTTGGAGGAATATTTTTGACAATTCACTGACGTATGTGGTTATCTTTTGAATGGGTTCATGGGTTATAATTTGTTTCTATTTCTAATATAAATGATGGGATACTCGAGTTTCTAAGCAAGAAGTGAAACATTTCGAAATTCATTTTTCTTATAAAGAGCTCTTAAACAACTTCGCTTTTGGGGTTGTGAATTCTTTTATTAAATGGTTCTAAATTTGACAACTTGTCAACATTTTGGTAAGATCAGTTTCTATAGAAAATTTTAAATTCCGAGATCTGAGAATTTTTCGGCGATTTTTTTAAAACATCATAACATTGATAAATTTCATTAAAATAATGGTAATATATTAGTATTATATTTAAAAAATAACATTAAAATAAAACTTTGCTGTCATATTATAAAGTTTCATTTTGGCAACTTATACAATATTTTAAATCTGAAAAATAAACAAGGTATATAGCTATAAAGCATAATTTAAGAAACAGCTCTTAGTAAAAGCAAAATTAGCTGTATAATTAATTAAAATGTCTTCTTTTTAATTTTTTCATAGTAAGCATTTTTTCCCATGTAATTGTCTCAGATTACATCATCCAACTCCCATCAAGTAACCATCAACACCATCACGTAAAACTTATTCTTTGTATCTACTGAGACTTATATATAAAACAACTTATCACCTCTGGCACTTTAATGGCTTATTGAAACCTTAAAGTATATTAACTGGGTTACAACCCCTGGAACTCTACACAAAGCTATGACATTAACTGCATTAAGCAGAGCTTGACTAACTTTCAACACTTGCCAACCGTGCCTACATCAGGCCTTTTCCAATCAGCAGGTCTCTCTATAGACAAGCAGCAGAGGGACAACATTCAGTCTTTTGTTATGAATCATGCTGATTTCGATCTCACTTCTCATTTTAACCTATGCCGTTTGACATAAAATCTCCCTATTATTTGCTAAACCTCTAGACTGACCAAGTATGTGACCAAACACACACAGCATAAAGCTAACTATTAGTGAAAAGTAAATGTCTCTTATCTTCTTTTAAATATGTCCAACTATTGTAAGTGTAAAATATTTAATGCTACTTGATAAACTGCATGAAGTTTATTTTATTCTCAAACTTATTAATAATTATGTTAGTTCATGTTTAGTAATAATGCATACTACTTAGGGATCTATTTATTTTTAGGATGGTATTACAAAAGTGAAATTCAGGCATAGAATAATAATTTTAATTGAATTTATTCAGTTCCCATTTGCTCATAGGTCCTTAATTTTTTTCATTAATGGTCCTTAATTTTTTTCATTAATGGTCCTTAATTTCTGTGTGCAGAAATGAACCCTGAATTAAATAAGTCATGAATTTAAAAGAACAGATTAGGATTGGGGTCAGTTGTGTATAATTTAATCTTCAATCTATATTTTTTGTATTTGTTATAAAACTTCATATCATAAGTAAGATTCTTATGTAATTTGCTTTTTTTTTTTTTTTCTCCTTTTATTTCAGTGGTAATCGAATGATGGGATCAATGAATGGTTCAGGTGCAGGTAATTTTCTGCCGCAAGGATCAGTGGACAAACCTATGGGACCTGGTATGGGTGGGCCCCGGGCTCCCATGATGAATACAGGCATGGGCGGGTTTCAAGGTGGAGCTGGAGGTCCAGGTATCAATGGTCCTGGCATTTCTTCTCGGTTTATGGGAGGCCCTGTGAGACCAATGAAAGGACAAGGATATGTTCCACCAGTACCTGTAAGTTTAATTTACTTTGAACTTTTCTTTAGCATCATATTGCTAAAAATGAAAATACTCATGTCTTATCTAATGCCAGGAGCTTCAGTAAGTGCAAAGCTAAATTTTGCAGTGATTTTTTTTTTTTTTTTTTTTTTTTTTTTTTTTTTTTTTTTTTTTTTTTTTTTTTGAGGGGGGCGGGGTTGCAATGGTTACTTTGGTTGTTGCAGAAGTAATTGTGGTGGTGATTTATCTGACATACTTTATAATTTCTGGCAGATAGTGCTTAGCTGTATACAGATTTAAAGCAGATGTTAGAAGAGTAGCAGTAAATAAATTGTGATGTTTCCATTTCACTGTTTGGTAAAGTGCAGCAGGCATTATAGAAAATAATTTATAAACACATAATATATTTAAACACCTTCATCACATGAAAATTATGAATATGGTTCTGACAGATAGGCAGGTTTGGGGAGGGGGCACATTTGTTGCTTAGTGAAGCTTCTGATCTGAGAATATAGTTTATTTTCATGATATATATTGTATTGAATATAATTTATTTTTTTATATCACTTATAATAATATCTTTAATACTCAGAACACAGGTGAACTTTTTATGTCCAAACCTTCCCCGAATCCCAATGGGTCATACACAATTGTAATGAAGATACCAAATGATGTAAGTTATTTATTTGAAATCTTTCACATCTTATTGCAATTCCATATTAATTATTTTGTATGTTCCTTATGTATGTGCATAGTTTGATCATTGCTAAAATTCAAGAAAAAAGATTATTCTGCTGGACTTAATTAGCATAAATGAATTTTTTTAATAAGAATTTTATTAGTATTTTGAAAATCACAGCTTTTTTATTTAAAACTAAGGTACTATTCCGTTTTGAGGATCGTAAAAAAATTGCAGCGAAAATGTATGCGCAAATGCGCCAAATCCAGCAAACATGCTAGAATGTGTAAGTTTATATAGTTCTATATTTCTTAATACGCCATTGAAATACTAGTTTAATTTTTAAATTCTTTTTTTGATATCCTGTGGATTTAACAATTTGGGAATTACCCATGATCAAAAGTCAACAATATAATTTGGGGTAAAGTGCAGAATCACTCACTGCTTGAGGCGTTTTTAAGAATTGCACATACTCGGTATCCATGTGCACATCGACCTATTTTCACTTAAAAAAATCCCAGAATTGCACAAAAATGGCACTGTGCACCCCTTGACTTTATCTATGTACACATCAACCTATTTTCATTTAAAAAGTAAAATAAAATTGACAAAAATCCAATTGTTTTTACCCTTGTAAAAAGCGGCAAACAAATAAGGGAGCGAGTCTGCACTTCTGAATTCCGATTCTGAATATTTTCAAAGAAAAAGCATCATTCATTATAGAAAATTACGTTTGAACAACCAGCGAGATGAAATTATGCTTTAGCGATAAGTCGGTAGCGAAATAGAGATGCAGTCATCCATTCAGTTATGTTTAGCAATTTTTATATAAATTATAATAATTATCTGAAATAGTTATTTACTCTTATGCTTCAATTCAGTCATGTTTAGCCTTTTTCATATAAATTATAATAATAAAGTATTATATGAAATTAACCTTTCATCTAAATTAAAACATCAATCTTAGATAGTTATTTACTATTATACTTCCTTTCTTGCATTAGGGTTTCCGCAGTTATTCTTGGCAGCACTAGCATCAACAATAGTTTGGCGATTTTTTATGGCCCTAAAAACCGAATAGTACCAAACTAAATTTTGCTAGCCACCAAATTTTAGGGTAGCTGATTTCTATATTTTATTATGTTTGCCTTTAAGGTTGCTGGTGCAATAATTGGTAAAGGTGGTCAACGCATACGTAAAATAAGACGTGATTCAAATGCTACAATAAACATAGAGGAAGCTACACAAGGTACAAATGATCGTATTATAACTATTACTGGTGCTCTTAACCAAGCACAGCTGGCACAGTTCTTGATGCAACAAAGGTTTGTAATTTTTTGAATAAAAATATTTTTGTATTAATATAACTATCATTAAAGAATTTTTGTATCATTAAAGAATCAAATTCTACACCAGATTCATTATTTGTTGCTGTACCTGTGGTTTTAATTGCCAGCTGACATTGCGATTCTCCTTTTAATTTGTGCTCATTTTTTACATTAAAAGCTATTTTGTGTTTGCAATATGAATTTTAACTTATGCATTGCCAAATATGTTGATTTTTGACCAATTTGTTTAAAAAGTTTGATAATTTTTTAACACACAATAATATAGATAAAAAAAACTGAAGAAAACATTAAAATGAAACTATGTTCCACTGTCATGTTTGGAAATATGTTTGCCATTCTTTTTGACAATTTTTAGACAAGATGATAGCTATTATAAATAAAGCACATTTTCTGAATAACGTTTGTGCAAAAGCCCCCCCCTCCCCAAAAAAAATCTATAAATATCTTAAAATTAATTTTGTTTAACTGATTTTCCATTTTTAATGCTTAAGTGTTTCTCCTTGTCCAGCTGTATCGAACTATTCAGATACGTGTTAGTTTTCTCAGTAAATTTTACTTTATTAATTTTTCAAACTATTTCTCATTTTTCTTGTCTTCTGCTTTTTGTTCTACTGTGTTTTGTGCAAGTATAAATTTTATATATTTCACCATATATATTTTCCATGCCTTTTCTTTGAAACCAGTGTAGTACTTTTATACAGTTCCTACTATTCTTTGATTAGTAATGAATTTTCATATTTAGATGAATGGTGTAATTTTATCTTATTTATTTGCTTATTGATATTTTTACTGATTCTTTATTTATTTATTTATTTATTATATTTGTAAGTTCTTCATTTTTGTGCATCAAAATTAAATTTTCAGTTCTGATCTGCATAATTCTAGTTACAGAAATGCTTTTTAAGTATATAACATAGCTTACAAAAATGTAAATCTCTTTGACAACAAACAATAAAAACAGTTCCTGTAAAAATCTTCTTATTGGAATGTTTTGAATCTTTGTTATTTAAATGTTATGTCTTGTAATATATACAAGAAATCCTAATACTTAAAATAAGAATCCAAATAAGTTATTGTGTAAAATTAGAAGTAATGATTTGTATTTACATATTTAAATCATTTCTATACAATAGTGGAGTAAAAAGTTTAATAATTAAAATATCTTGATTATATGTGTCTATTATATTGCCATGTTTACTATAAAGCCGCGTTTCCGCTGCTGCTTATGCGTTTCTCCAATGAGCGAGCGAATTCACTTTGATTGACATCTGCAATCCGGTCGATGTGCGGTGACGGATGATGTACGGATAGAGTTCAACAATGTTCAACTTCTATCCGTATGTCTGCAGATGTGTGGGGTCACGTGGTAAAAAAGGAGCAAACAGGTGTAGTCACCAAAAATTAATGGCGGCAGAAGTAGCGATGAACACTCATTTAGGGGAAGAATGTTTAGCTAAAAAATACTTATTTCTGAATTAACATTAGAGCGAGAAATCTGCGTGCTGAAAAAGTAAGCAATCAGCGGAATTTAGTTGAAAAAAGATAAGAAAAATAAGATAACTGCAACTTCAGTACTTATTTGCAGATAGAATCAGGTGTTCAAGAAAATAACGGCAAAAATTATAATTCCATGAAATAGCAAAGAAGAAGAAGAAATTTAAGGCATGCCCCGTATCGAGAACTCAATCTCATTCCGGGTCCACTCCCCCTTTGGGCACGTCATGGTGGTTCAACCTCCACTATTACCCTCCAGGAGAGCAGCGCACCACCTGGGACGCACCCGAGGCAGCACTGGTCGTCTAATGCTCCTACCAGTCGCTTGGGCGAGCCCGTCGCAGCGGGACATTACCCAGCTACCCCGGGGGAGACCCCCGGGTTACTAGAACCACGCCGCGCTAGGACGTGCCAGACTCCGGGGCCGGCCAATAAGTGACCTTTCCCAGAGCCTTCAGAACCACGAAATTCATAAATTTTATACCCCCGTGGCCGAGACTGCCTAGGTACAGATCCTAACCAGTAGCTTCGCAGAGTTCTCTACGTCGACCCCCGGGGGGGATGAAATAGCAAAATTTGTCTTGACAATTATTTCACAGTTCTGCATACTCATTTACCTTTAATGAAAATGAATGTCTGACTATATCAAACTGCTATAGCAAATTAGATGTGATTAAAAGATTTGTTATTTTTTTCTTTTGAAAAAGGTAAAAACGTTAATTATAAATTAAATTTGATAGCCTTTTAAATGATCCACTGCATTAAAGAGTATGTTGAATTTGTATTTCTATATTTTTAAATATATCTTTTTGGCTAACATATATTTGTAAGCATATGAAATATATTTTTAGCAGCCCGTTTAACTTCAATCGAACGCCCTTTAAAAGATATGTTTTTCTGTAAAAATCTACTAGATTTAATTTTCCTCGAAAAAATTTTCAAAATTATATAATATGAATTTAAAGCATACCCTGTATATATATATATATATATATTTGAATTTAAATTTGCTTTTTACGAATAGAGAATGTTTGTTAAAGTTAATTAAATTTAAATGAAATTTAATGCAAACTGCGGCGAACTAATCTACAATATCATTTAAATTCTGAGAGCATATGTAAATCAAGTGCAAGCATCAAAATCCATGAATATGCATTTTTAAAATTTTTTTAAGATTTATTCTAGTAATTCACTTATGCATTTTTTTAGGATTTATCCTTGTAATTCACTTATGCATTTTTATAAGTTTTTTAGGATTAATAAATTTTTAGAATTACATATTTATTCATGGATTTTGATACTTGCACTTGATTTACATATGCTCTCGGAATTTAAATGATATTGTAGATTTTTGCAGCAATAATTAATCATTTATTTGTTTGCATTAAATGTCATTTAAATTTAATTAACTTTAAATTTGCTTTTTACGAATAGAGAATGTTTGTTAAATTCAAATTTCATTCCTTGCAACAATGGCGCAAGAGAATTATTTAACTTTAGTATTTATTATTTTGAAACCCTGTACATATATATATATATTTTCATTTCACTTTTATGTGAATGTACATACATGTGCTCAGACTTTGGGATGTTTACGGCTCTAAACGTTCATTACCAATTAACATGAGACAGTATTAATGTTAAAGCACGAACCATTTTTTAATTCCCTTAACTTTTTTATTTTATTTATTAATTTGTTTATTTTTTCACTAACACTATATTTTAGTTTTAATAATATATATATTATTTCATTAATATTTAAGGCTTCTAGTAATGCAAAAAAATTTTTTTTATTTACTTCAGCTTTTATGGAATTAGTGATGTTCATAATATGCATTATAACCTTACTTATCTAAAAATTGCTAGTGTACTTTACTTTCGCCGTTCATAAGCAGAAATAAAAATTTCCAATAACATGGAATTTAGTAAACAAAACGTTTCTGCATTTTACGTCAGGATCCATATCAAATCCAAAACAAACAATACTCGCTTAAGCGTAAAAAATTCAGATGTTCAGCGTCATAACTCGCGAACTGCTTGTTTGGCGCCAAAATATTACAGTGACACCTAGCGGCGGAAAATTTAAATATTCTACAGATACGCGGCAGTGGAAACGCTTGTACGGATGCCGTAGGCTTGTCTTCAATTGACGCAACGCATTCATTCGCAGTAGTGGAAACGAGCCTTAAAGTTTGAAGCCACTTGTACCACCTGAAAGCTTCTAAATTCTGATTACACTTCATTGCATTTTACATTTGTAGAATAAAATAATGTTTGTAGCAACAAGGCTAATGCTTAAGATAGTCTGTTCGGTAAAGTTTTGCAGCATTCTGGCATGATTTATGGGCATTTTAAAATTTGAAACATTCAATTTCAGCGTATCTCTCTGGGAGCGAAGAGGTAAATAAACTTTTGTTTTGATATTAAGTTATAAATGTGTTTTTCAAAGTCCATATGCTCGAAATGAGATGATAGAGAGTATTGACCATTTATTTGTAGCTTGTGATCAAAATATAAGCAAGGTTCATTTTATGTGAAAGATTTCTGAAAAAATATGAATTATGTTTTATAATATTTATTCACTTTGTTTTTTAATATATTGTTTACAGCAAGTTAACTGATGTAATAAAATTCTACCACCCTACAAATTTATTATAAACAGGCATATAGTGTGCCTGCAGTGACCGGTTTCTTTACAAGTAATGTAATTCATAAACGTGTGTAACTTCTAAGCACTTACATATAAAATGCATCAGTGCATTTTTCATAATTAAATTTTTTAATATTGTGTGTTATCAAACTAAAAACCTTTCTCTGATGATATATTTGTTACAGAGAATGTTTTAGGTGTTATGAAGTTCAGTGTTATCAGCATTGTATTTCAACTTTAATAACTTTTTAATAAGCTGTAAAAAATGAACTACCTTATGTCGACTTCCCTGTCTGGAAGACTAGTGATTTTGTTGTTCTGTATTTGAGTAACAAGAAATCTCTATCTTCTGACAGTGGGGGACAAAATCGTCTTATTAGATTCTTTAGAGCTTCGTAATAGATATTTTGTAAAATTGCTTTGTGTATTGAAGGTCTTCAACTGTGTAAATAATTAGTATTATTTTTTCAGTGTGCGTGACAACCAAGGTGGTGGTGGTGGTCGACGTTATTGAAACAACTGCAGAAATTTAGTTTTTGCACGCTAGACTATTTAAAGAAACATTATTCTACATTTTTACATCATCATTTATGTTAGCATTATAATGAATGAAAATAATTCATCTGTACATTGTTCAAAATCTGTTTAGATAGATAGACATGTACACTTTAACTGGTACAATAAATAATGGTTTGGCATCATTGTATTTCAAAAACTTGAAATAAAATCGTTTTTAAAAACTGTTTTTATTGATTTTGAATTTTATCATTTTGAAATTGTTATAGAATATGAATGGAATACAATTTTGTAAGAAATAAAAAATTTGCTTAATATTTTTAATAATTGCTTTGAAAAAGTTGATGCTTCTTTCTTAGAAGTTCACTTGTGAAGAACTAAAGCATATTTTACAGCTTTGTGTGGTTTTTATTTTGATAGATCATTGCGTATATTTCAGACATTGTTCGTAATTCTTTGGCATGTTGACAGAGCTGTCCCTGAATGTGTTAAAGCTTGTTTAGTAGTGTAGAAAAAAAATTATATGAATTTGTTAATGCTTTAATAACAGAGTCTTCATTTAAAAGCTGAACTTGAGATAGCTAATAATTGTTATTTCTTACATTTTTGATCAGATGATTATATAAAAATTCTATTCATTTAAATAAAAAATACACAAATTTATAATTAATAGTTTGCAGAATTAATAATACAGTAGTTTCCTTGTATTAACTATCCTAGACCAGTAGGTAATATCAAGTGCTACATTTACCTTCATAGTTTAGTAAATATGGCAAAATTTAAATGACGTGTTACTTAGTGAGACATTACCTGTATTAAGTAATAATATACACTGTTTGCTCAGAGTATTTAATTTGGAAGGATATTGGTAAGTGAGACTGGTTAGTTGCATGGGGTTTCCCCCCCCCCTCCTTTTTTTTTAAACCATGCATAACCTAAACACAAGCCAGTTTTCCTTTTTTAACTAAGCTGCAAATAATATGTAATTATTTTAAAGAGCAACTTCATGAAATGTGGTTTTCCTTAAATCAGTCAGATTTAGTAGTAGAAAAAAAGTTCAATAAGTAATTAAAATATCCTCAAGACTTGTAAAATATCACATGCTTTACTAAATGGCAGCACGTGGAAGGTATCTTATTTCTAGCAATTGCTACGCATTGCTTTTAAATAGCTGAGTTTATTGATAAAAATTGTCATATTTTGTAGTTAAATTTTAAATATAAATATTTTAGGGTTCGTAATGGATTGAATGTACAAAGAATCGATGATAGCTTTATAAAATTTGTTTTCCAAAGAGATACTTTACACGTACTACTTGGAACTTAATACAAAAGTACTCGTACATCTCATTTCAATATTGTAGAGCACACTCAGTAGTTGCACATAAACTACTAAGGTAAGCATGGTGCAATGCAAAGTATATCTAAAGAGATTATCTCAGTGCTCTGAACTAACAACTGAAATGAATTGATACTTTCCAGTATTATACAGCTTTCCCTCAGCTGCTGAGAAGTCTCTCAGGCTTAATCTTATATTACTGCTAACTTGATTATATCTCACAAGCCATTTGAAATTATTTAACGTATATACAAAAATTTGTAGCAATATGTATGCTTTGCAGAATGGCAACAGGAAATTTTTAAACCACTGGACTTAAAAAGGTCATACAAAATATAAAATTAATTCACACAAAATATGAAATAAATGAAAAATTGGTAATTTAAAATTTGGACTTTGAGGTGCACATATTCAGAAGTGTGTGTGTGTGCAAAATTTGGTCTTTTATATGCTGCCATTTTTCTGCAGTGCAAGGAACCTACATATAGATTAGCTATTTATAGTAGAGATAAGGAATTTTGATGTTTTAGTTTAAAAACAACAGTGAACAAACTCTTGCCTCTATTGTATTGAATCTCAACCACGAGTTAATACATATCATACTTATCATCAGGCATCTTTTTTGTGTAAATTGGAAAATTTTGCTTTTAAGTAGCATAGAATACAGGAGATACCTTGTTTTTGCAACAAAGCAAATATTTATTTTTAAGTTTCTTCAAGGGAAACAAGGTAGCAGTTCTATGATATGTCCTTTTAAATTTCTTTTGGATTTATCTTGGCATGAGTTTTTCATAAATCTGGAAAGATTGTGTGGAATACCTTTAATCATTAATCATAATAGCATTCAATAGTTTCTAAGCAATAATCAAAAATAAACAGAGAATGCTTTCAATTAAAATAGACAGGACGATGAAATGTTGGTGCAAACACAAGAAAAACAAAAGCTGCCTCATGTTTACATTACTCAATTATCTTGTTCTGCTGGGAAATAAACTTGAGGTGAGTTACCAGTTTATCAGTTATTATTTTAGCTATAACTGCACAGGCACTGTTAGTTTGGGAAAAGCTTTGTTGTTACTAATGCTTACTTGTTTTACTTATAGTCAGCCCAAGAAATTTCTTGTTGTGAGAAGCACAAGTTTATGCCAATCATTGTCAACAACCTTGAGCACCTTGCAGATGACAGTGCGATTTAGCTGTTTCACCTCCTGTTTTAATGTAGAGTACCTCAGAGGGGGACAGGTTCAAGGGTCTTCAACCGCTCTCAAGAAATGACTGCCAAACCAGAAAAAAAAAATTGAAACTAAAGAAGATAGAATATACACTGTTGAAAAGAAAGTTGGAGAAATTGAATAGAGGTTTTGCTGCTGAATAATAAATTGAAGAGAGTTTCTGCTGTCAAACAGCAAATCAAAGTGTTTCAGCTGTCAAACAACAAACAGAAGAAACAGTTTCTGCTGTTGAACAAAAAATTGATTACAGGGTTTCGGCTAATAGCTTTTATAATTACAGGCGGAAGCAATCCTGACGCTTTTAAATTCCTAACCACATCTTCTCGTCCCTTCCTAAAGTTATCCACATATGCTCTGAAGATCTCTTGACGAGTGTAAAAGACTCAGTTTTCTATAGTAATGGAGGCAAATAAATGGAATTCTCAAGCCTGCCACCATCCCACTTCTCTGAGAGTGGATG